ACAAACAATTGGAGCCCACCACGGCGGAAGGCCTACGAAGAGATGTTCAAAGCATCTCTCGCTTATCAACTTAATATTCGTTTTGTTGAGGTAGTATTGTTGGGCTACATCAATTTCATTTTAATCTTATTAAAAGAACTTGGGCCTATCACAACCATTGGTCCAAGTTTATATGAATTAGTAGTATATAATACTCCAACTATTTCAATGAAACAAGCGAGACTATATGGAACTACTAACGAATGCATATCATCCTCATACGGACAATATAGTCATCTTAGGTCTTAGGATGATTATGAACCGTTTGATTTGACCCAACACGAGCCTTGTGTTGGACCTTGGGTCTAAGGTAGGTAGTTGTTGATTTTAGTTACGCGTTTAATCTAATTAAACCATTATTTCCTATTGAGTGTTGGACCCAACTATTCCAATTTGCATGCAATTTAAACAAAAAAGAATACTTGAAATAAAGAGAAGGGCTTATGCCCTTTTGCAACACATTTGATGGACTTATACCCTTTTACAACACATTTGAACTAATCAAATTACATTCAAATCTAAACTACTTAACCCAAACATTCATAATGTAAAGCAACCAATCACATACCTCAATTATCGAGGCCCTTGGTTCATAATCACCATTTTCTTAATCAATCGCATTAACTAAGAAAGCAACTTAAACAATTGGTTTTCGGATTCATAAAATTCATATAAATGGAACTAAATGAAATGAAAATCCAATTCTCATTAAAGAGACAAAACCATTTTGTTCTCATCATAATTTGGGCCGCAAATGTAAATGACCTCAACTATTGAGCCCCAAAGAAAAAACATAAACTTTTGGGGTCATTTTGTAAAAACACAAGAGTCCACAACTTCATGTAATTACAACTAGAATCCAAAAATTTCAACAATTACAAAAACTTCATTAAAGGAGTAAAACAATTTGTCCTTTAGTGATTTTGGGTCTTTACGTAAAAATGTAAACTTTTAGGCCAAAGTGCAAATACACAAAAATATCAAAACTTTATGTAATTGCATAAAAGACCCAAAAGTACCCCCATTATAGGGGTGGCCGGTTTTGGTAGTGTGAGTGGAGGGTTGGTTTTGGTGAAAATTCAAAATTTTATAAGTGTTGATAAAGTGAAAGGTATGGGTTGAATAGTTGATTGGCATGGTTGAAAAGTTTGATTGGTATGGGTTGTAAGATATAGGTAAGGTGTAGAATTTATCGAACAATAAAAACACAAATCATCCATCACCAATCAATAACAAACCAAAACTTTATGAAAAACAACAAACACATTGAATCAAAACACCAAACCTTTTTGTTCTTGGTAAGAACATCAAGAACATTGAAGAACACACAGGAAAACTTATAAGAGCTCCATGAATGTTTTCACTCAATAAAACTAAAAATACACTACTTAAAAGAGGGTTAACATCTTATGGTACTTAGGGGTTCCTAATGTCACTTTACAACACTTTAAACAAGACAAACATGAACCTAAAAATCCACCCTTTGGATTTGGCCGAATTTCCCCACATACAAGGCACCAAATTTTAGTTCCAATATTCATGCTTAAATGAACTACATCTACAAGAGATGCTAAATTTTCAAGCAAAAAATTATATTAAAAAAGCAAGAACAAAGCTTGTAACATTTACAACATTTAAATCACAAACCATGAAAAACACAAAACCCAAAAAGATTCACCATACACTAGACCTATGCTCTGATACCACTTGAAGGAAAAATTTTGTCCTAGCTAAAAACATGTGAGAACATTTGAACACATATGCAAACTAATAACATTTGAACACATATTCAAAAACAATTCTAAAACCCATGACCTTCAAAGCCTAGTGAATGGTGAAACACAAGACTCTTTAACAACATTAAAGAGAAGAAAGGATTTTGAGATTCATTACCCTTGAAGCTCATCCTTGTTTACACAAGGGATTCACCCAAGTGGAGGGCCTTCAAGTCACATCCTAGCTCCTTAAATCTTCCTTGTGATTTTCTTCCCTTTTGATGCTCCTTTGCTCCTTGAGGATGTGAGGAAAGGAACTCCAAAAATGCCAAAAGTCTACACACCATGGATGATGGTGTGAAGATGAAATGGATTACCTAGAGGAAGTTGGATGCTAGTGAACTCCCCTAGGAAGGCCGACCTCTATAGAGAAAAAGGAGAAAAAGTTTCTCTTCTTTGCCTCAAGAAAACCCTAGTGAGAGAATGGCTATAAAGATGCCTTTATACCACCTCACATGTGAGTGGCAAACTTACAATTAACCCAAGTTTGCTACCATTCACCCTATGGCTGTTTTTGACTTTGTTTTTGGGTTAATTTCCATTTAGTTTTAGTTGTCACACAACTTAAACTCAATGTGCCTTGTGGGCCAAAAACCCTTTTGGGCCCCAAGACCCGAAACTAACTTAAAATACCAATACAAATCTTTGTATAATTAATTAATCTTGACCATTCCCAATTAAACCATTTAATTGCTTATCCATCTCATTTTTATTTTTTCACTTTCATCCTTACTCGATGTATGATCCATTAGCTTCCAATTAGCGAGGCAGTGGGTGATTGTTACTCTTAACAATCGATTGTGAATTGAAACTACATTTCAATTCTGCCTTTGATGAAGATTAGTGTTTGCTAATCTTCAGGGCTTCCTCAAACCATGAGTGACATCTAGCAGTATGTCATGGCTACCTAAGCTAAGTAGAAGTGGTTGGAGAGCCTATCTAGTTACAATTACAATGCAATATCGTCCTTATCTAATACAATACTCTTAATCACATCGTTTGAGTGATAGTTTGTTTCATGTCTATTATCCAATGTAATACTTCTCTATATGATTCAATTGAATATGATTTGGAACAAACTTCCTAAGTCATATTTGTATGCTTTGGCCAAAGACTCCCAAATCATGTCTCAGAGTATCCTCCCTCCACCATGGAAGGTTAGAGATCCCTTGTTGTGCATTCATACGCCTACATGACTAGATAGCTTGACCCAAGCAATGTCATGGACATTCTCGATGGAATGCCTTTGACATGATCAAAGATCAAGGACCTAACCATTATACATCTATGATGCCTCAGGTGAAAGGACTACTTTGCATATTGCATCTTATGAGTTCTTACATGACATGTATGTTCGAACTCTCTTTTGACCGTAGTTCAGTGAACTCAATTACCTTTTGAACACCTATGTGTTTGTCTCAGTGTCCAACACTAAATGAGTTAAGACTAGTCATACTCACGCTTGAGTTAACATAACGCATACTAACCTTAGCGGATTGTCAATGCCCAATTGGCAATCCTATGGCTAGGAACGTTTTAGGAATGAACATAAGAGAAATGTCTCGTTAATCTAACTTAGATTACTTCTCTCTTAGATTAAATACATTCCTTGGATTCCCTTATTGCTTAAACACATAATACAATAAATAATGATTAACAATAAGCTTTGCGCTATTACAAAAGCTATTACATCGAATGAGTGGCTTTGTGGACATACTTCCAACAAAGACGTTATTGGGGACAGTGACGACGTCAAAATGTTATGTGAAAGCGGGCTTTTTAGATATGTAATGAGGGCAATGCTAATTAAATTTAGGGCAATTGGAGTAATCTTTACAAAACTGAAAACCAATTAAATTTAGGACAACGCTAGGGAGACTTAATTTGAAGACAAAATTTGCAAACAAAATGATGTGACATCAATAGAAATGAGTGCGTTTATCAATATTTAAGTAATAAATTAATCATCAACTTTCATGTCCTTTAGTTTTCAAAATTTTTTTATACAAGTTTAGTCTCCCTAACATTACCCTTAAATTTAATAGAAAGAATCAAAAGAATTGTATGAACTATGTGGGAGGTAGAGAGCAGGGTTAACTACTAAAAAAATTTGAAATTAAAAAAAAAAGTACAAAGAAATCTGGGAAAGGCAAAGAGGAGGGCTGCAAATAATAATTGATTAGGTTGTAAATAATAGTTGATTAGGTTGCTTTAGGAATAACATTAAATTGATTTTAAAACTCTCATCTTAAATTCGCCATTTCACTGAACCACAAAGACAAAACAAACAAACTCTAAAATGTAAGACACGACGTCGTTAGACTCAACTTCTTCAAGAGGACAATTTAGATTTTCTTCTTTATATCTTATGGTTCTACAACTGTAGATTTGAGGCTGTTAAAAATTTCTATACAGTAGATAGAATGGACATAATTAATAAAAAGTTTTAATTCAGAATAAATTATATTCTTGAATTAAAATACAAAGCTTAGTTTTTGGCTCTCCCCAACTCTGAAGGGTTACAATATTACATTCCTGTCGTTTTGTGCAAAGATAACTCTTCCAACCGACTTCCCATTTTTATGTGCCAAGACAAGGGCCAATGCGTCTGCTATGCCAAGCAAAGGACCTCGTACAATGCTTGCGCAGCCGAAATAAGATACGATTAATTAGTCAGTGGTGACAAATAAATAAGATATGATTAATTAGTCATTGGTGACTAATATCTTATTAGCCTCAAAGATATTGGGCAATAAAGTTGTGCAAATCCGATGTTATGGCTTGCGTCACTTTATTTGCCAAGACCTGATAAGGAAAAACCTAAAACGGATTTTGATCTCATTCAGATTCTCTTTGTGATTTTGGATCCTCACAGTCTATCCGCTCATCGTATATCTTGTGATCAGAAATCATTATGAATTTTTTTATTTAAAATTAAACACAAATCATACCTAACGAAAACTGACCACACAATGTACGATAAACGAATAAGATATGATCCTCACAAAGAGAATCCGAAGAGGATCCTCATCCACCTCAAACCATGTTCTTCAAATATTGCCTCAGACAGCCCCTAGTTTGGAACATGTAATCAAAGTTGTTTGCTAAAAATTGAAATCTATAAGGAGAATGGCTCTCCAATGCCCTGAAGAGTTGCCTCTAAATCTAATCTTCACTGGGTTTTACTATATATATTCTCTGCCAAAGAATATTGATCGCATTGTTCATATTGTCAATACAATTTTCAATCAGTTAAGTTCAAATTCTTAGAGCTCCACTTTTTGTGACACTTAAATTGTTATAGCATGGAAGGCAAAGTTTTCACAGAAGAACAGGAAACACTGGTGGTGAAGTCATGGGGTTGATGAAGCAGAATGCTGCTGAGTTGAGCCTTAAGTTCTTCTTGAAGTAAGTCTGTTTTACATACCTTGCAAATTTAGCCGATACAAAGCTATAATATAGCACCCAATTCTTCCGTTTCGTTCTTTTTTTTTTCATCTGCACTTCATAGTTTATATATGATGTCAAAAGAAAGGTTTTGAACCAACTGGGACTTCCATTTGCAGGATCTTTGAAATTGCACCATCAGCTCAGAAGCTGTTCTCTTTCTTGAGGGACTCTGATATTCCTCTTGAGAAGAACCCAAAGCTCAAGCCTCATGCCATGTCTGTATTTGTTATGGTAAATATAATTAAGCCGCTAGTGTGGAGTTAATTATAATTAACTTGGGTTCGATCACTAATCCTTCATTTGTGTTCCAGACTTGTGAATCTGCAGTTCAACTCAGGAAAGCAGGCAAGGTTACAGTGAGAGAGTCAACCTTGAAAAGATTAGGTGGTGTCCACTTCATGTCTGGAGTGGTAGATGAACATTATGAGGTATATGCTAATGTTTGTCCTTGCACGCGAAGTTTTGAGTTCGAATTCTTCTTTTCCAAATATGTGCCTTAGCGAACAATTTATTTTATATATAGGTGACCAAGTTCGCATTGTTGGAAACCATAAAGGAGGCCTTACCGGAAATGTGGTCACCGGAGATGAAGAATGCATGGAGAGAAGCTTATATGATCAGTTGGTTACTGCTATAAAATCAGAATGAAGCCTCCCCTTAATTAGCCACAACTCTCTTTATAAGTTCTTTTCTTAATTTGTAACTTAATAAGTCGGAAATACTATCTGCCTCTATTTGTTTGGTTGTTTGTTCCTATCTTTTGTTAATATCTAAAACACCCTCAATATTTTAGTGTCGTTCTAAATTAGTATCAATTTTTTTAGGGTTTTTATCATAAGTAGTACCTGAAATTGACTTTTAGCATTAAGATGGTTCCTGAAAATGAAATTCAATAAATGTAGTCATTGGATATTGATGTTGCAAATCAATGTGATCATTCCATTAGAATTCCATCAAAATTTCAGTTAGTGTGCTGATGTAGTACATATTTGAACCCACATGTATTGCCACATGGATAAATTATTAAAAACTTTATAAATTTTAATTAAAATCATTTAAAACTAAACTCAGAGTGATTAAATAAAAAAATTAAAAGTTGTTCAATAAAAAAAAAAGGCTGCATCTACTTTCACAATGAGGAAGACACAATTCGGGCCAAGGAGAGAGAGCCATGGGCAAGTTAGAGGCAGAAAGAGCTAGAATTTTAAATATTTTATAAAATATTGAAAAATATCGTGTCAAAATTACAAGTTAGAGTTTGAATAAATGTGATCGGGACAGTAATGGAGCCAGAATTGTATGTGAATGAGGGTTTCTCAGATATGTAATGATGATATGTTTGGTCAAGTCCTATAATGAGTGAAACCCTCATTTTGTGTTGCTGAGACATGCACCTAAGGAGAAAGTCTTTGGAACCGAAGTGAGCCAAGGAACCGAGTGACATGCCCGCACTACTAATTGAGTGCCAGCAAGTAGCAATGCTGTCAGTAAGAAGGGGAGCCAACAGTTTTCTCACTTGTTGAGTGATCGGATCATATTTATATATATTTTTACTTCAAATTCACTCGTCTTTTCTTAGTTAGTTCCTTATATTTTTGAGCTATTTACTTTGTTTTTGCGTATTATAGGATTTGTCTAGCAAAGAAAATAAAAATAGAACAAGTGAAATTTTAAGTAATAAATTCGTCAAAACTGTCTGTGTAGATCAGCTGACTTTGGGAGCAAGTTGCGAACAGCTCAGAATGAATTAGAGAATGAGCTTTATATGCTTGGAAAGCTACAGATGTCTATTTTCTAGAACATTTCTCGGATTGTTAATATCATTTTTCTAGAAGAAGTTATAGGCATTTGAGTAAGGGAAGGTCTAGCTGACGACAACTTGCAGATTGGAATTGAAAAAAAAAGAAAAAGATGACAAAGAAGTGGGAGACATGGAATGATGGAGAAGAATAACAAAAGGGAAATATAGGAGAGTGTTGGACGGCAATAAAAAAAAAGAAAAGAAGGAATAAAAAAATTAAAAGAAGAATAAGAGGAGGACACGGGCAGACTGGTGGAAGGAGGAAATAGAATAAGAAAATAAAGAAAAAGAGAAGAGTGCGGGATAAGAAGCAGTGGAGGGTGGTTTGAAAAGAAAATAAAAAAAATAGAAATAAAGGGGACAAGTGGGAGAAACACTGAAGGAGACAGTGGGGAGAAAGAAGTGTTTGGCAGAGAGAATAAAAGCTGGCTTGCAGCGTGAGCCTCGGGGGGCGGAAGAAAAAGAAATTAAAAATATAGAGTAGGTCAGAGAGGTGGAAACGGACGGGCAGAATAAGGGAGGAGGCGCGCGAAACAGGATAGAAGCTGCCTTTGGCAGCTTGAGAGACAGGTGGCGGGAGAGAGAAGCAGAAGGCTGCACAGAAAAACAGGAGAGAAGCAGAGACGGGAGCAACACGAGAAGCAGGAAACGTGAGGTCAGAGAGTCCAAAAAGCTGCCCTTGGCAGCGTGAGAAAAGAAGAAGCAGGAAACGTGGGAAAGGAGGACTGCAAGAGGAAAGAAGGCGAGAGGAGAGAGGCAGCCAGCCAGAGGTCAGAGAGGGCAGAGACCAGCAGAAACGGGAGCAACACAGAGCAAAGTTTCACTCCATTTTTCTTGGTTTTATCTTCTCAAACCTATGTTTTACTTTTGGTTTAATTTGATAATAATATGTAACTAAATTTATTTTGGCTAGAGGTTAATTCAAAGCCATGAATATATTTGTAATATGAATTGATTACCTTCAGTTGTGATTTATAAGTTGTGATTTAATTTGCTTAACTGCTTAATTGATAACTTATTTTTGTATGTCGATTAAGAATGCATGCTTAATTTACATGCATGAATTTGATGCTAGAATATAAGTGAATTTCACCTAATCGTTATAAACTTATATTCATAAGTAGTGAAGGTTGCTAGTCACAATCACGTTAAGTAAATTCTAGGCTGGATTAACATGCGTATTCCATAGTTATGAATGCCTAGTCAATGTTTATGATTTCCGTTGAACTTAATGATCTTTGTTGAATGTCTCTATCATGCGTATTCCATAGTTAGGGACTTTGATGAGGAATAATTTGGTTGTAATGCGTATTCCATTCAATCCAATGAATCTAGGGAAATCTAAGAGTTAATTTAAGCGGACCTAATTAACTTGGAACATTGTCATTCACAATTTATTGAAAGAACAACTGAAAATCAATTTAGGTTGCATATGTGTCATGTGTGGAGAATAACCCTCTAGCTAGTCCGTCACCTATCCTTTCACCTTAATTTCATGCTTTTGTCAATTCTGTAATTTATTTAAGTTTAATTTACTTCTCGTCAAAACCAAATCCCCCCCCATTATTAAATTATATTATTTAGTAAGTTTCATTGTTGATAGTCTTTTAATTCAATTTCCGTCCATTTCAGTTCCTAGTGTCTAATTTGATTGTTTTCATTATTTTGAGTCATTCTAAGTGTGTTTCGAGTTATTAGAGTTTTTAGCCTAGTTTTGTGTCCTTGAGTCTTGTTTAATATTTTTAAATTAATTTAGAATAGATTAGCAATCCCTCCTAATCCCCGGCCTAGAACGATACCCTACTTACATCTATACTACAATTGTCAAAAAGAGGGTTTAATTTGTGTGTCAAGTAATTTTCACATCATTGAGTAAAGTCAAGTTTTTGGCCTTATCTAGCAGGTGGCAACGACGTTGAGTTAGTGGCAGAGAAAGACTCGGCATTCAGGCGAGCCGCCCGGTGATGTGGTACGTAGTGATTTAGTACGCCCCACCAAAATGGCTCCAAAACAAACAAAAAGGTGCGTGCCACACTCACGAGGGATTGCCAATGATATATTGGAGGAAGGTGGGGATGCGTCAAGTCCGCATGGCCCATATGGGTTGGGCCACACATGTGCTACAATGGAAATTACAATGGGAAGCAAGGCTTATGAACCCATAACATGAGTAGTTGAAGTAATTTTCATAAAACTAAAAGTCCAATTAAATTTAATAGAGAGAATCCAAAGAATTGTATGATACAACTATGTGAGAGGTAGAGAGCAGGTTTACCACTAAAAAAATTGAAATTATAAAAAAAAAAAGTACAAAGAAATATGGTTTGAATCGTCAAATGAAAAAGGAGGGCAAAGAGGAGGGCAAAAAGGAGGGTTGCAAATAATAGTTGATTAGGCTACAAATAATAGTTGATTTTAAAACTCTCATCCTAAATGTTTTGTTCCTTTCAAGTGTAAATATAAGGATCATATAATGACACAAATAAGGGTGTCAAACCACAAGGACTGATTAGACCTCTACAAATTACTAGTTTTATGTGAACCCTAACTAAACAGTGAAACTACAAACTGAATTTGGATTTTTGTTTTGGAAAACTAAGGTAAGCTTAAAATGCAAGAGAATATAAATATTAATGATAGATTGATTTGGAACTAAGGATCTCGATTTCACCATTACAAGCCAATTGCGTGTTTATGAAGTCAAAACGTATTCAACTCTCCAATCTGCAACTGGGGTTCGTTTTACTTATTTATGATCATCCATTTGATGTGTGGTTGTGATCAAGTACTCCTAATTTGCAACCTAGTTGTGATATTCAACTTAGATTACCAATTAAGAATTCATTAGAAACAAGAAAACTTCAAAGAACAAAGAAATCACATGGCATGATGTTTGCATAGCAGCTTCTCCATTCATTCACATTTCCACCAAGATTAAGTATGATGTATACTATAACCTTGATTATATAATCTGTAGGAAACCCTAATGGTGATCAAACATTAAGATAAACAAACAAATTAAAATATAAAATTAGTGAATGAAACAAGAAAATAGATTGACAAATTGACTGCTTTAACTTAATAACTTAGAATAGTTTTGCAAGGCTCCATCGAAATCTCCAGCTATGAACTTTGTTACTCAACATGATCACATATAGATACGAAGAATATTAGTGAAATTAAATCCATATAAGAAACCCCTTGAAACAATTTTGATGTGGAACTCCTTTAAGAACAGCGTGGCTGCAAGGTTTCTTTGGTGGCAACGGGTGGTGAATGGAAAAAGGATTTTGTTTATGAAAGAAAGGCCAAAGAAGGAGAAGAGAGAGTGCTATGAGTGTCTCCAAGAGGGGGTTTGTGTAAAAGTGATGTAAAACCTAGTATTTAAGTGCTAAAGAAGCTGCTACAGGATGCCAAGACATTGCAATAATTGAGCATTTATTTCACATGTTTTTTTTTTCTTTCTGTTATTGGTCTCTTAAAGGGCCATATTCATCACCATATTTGTACACAATCTCTCTCTACATCAGAATCTGGCCTTAATGAATTCTCTACTTTCAGCACCATTTTGCCTCATTTGCCCCCAAATGGACTCTAAAATACAATTAACTGCACATTAACATAAAAGAGGGTAAAACACAACTAATTTAACCCAAAATATCACAAAGAGACTAGGAATGGATGGTAAAAATTTATGAAATATATGAGTTATCACAAAGTTAAAACAAACAAATTGTTAGAAAATATAAGATACGATGTCGTTAGACTCAACTTCTTTACGAGGACAATTCATTCATGTCTTACGGTTCTACAATTGCAAGCTTGAGGCTATTAGAAATTTCTTACACAGTAGTCAGGATGGACATAATTAATAAAAAAAAATTATTCAAGAATACAAACTACAATTTTTACATTTTCATTGGAGCATTGGTCGTTGCCTACCAACATTGAAATACAAAGCTTAGTTTTTGGCTCTCCCCAACCCTGAAGGGTTTTGACAATACTATATTTTTGTCTTTTTGTGCAAAGACAACTCTTCAAACCACTTCCCACTTTTATATGCCAAGACAAAGGCCAATGCGTCTGCCATGCCAAGCAAAGGACCTCGTACAATGCTTGCGCAGCCTAACTAAGATATGATTAATTAGTCGTTGTTGACAAATATGTTATTAGCCTCAAAGGTATTGGGCAATAAAGTTGAGACAAAAATTTTGCCTTCCTCGATCCAAATCCGATGTTGTGGCTTGCGTCACTTTAGTTGCCAAGACCTGAAGATGAAAAACCCAAAACGGATTTGGATCCTCACATCATTTATCGTATATCGAATGGTCAGAAATCTTATGATTTTTTTTTAAATTAAACACAAATAATACTTAACAAAAAATGACCGTACGATGTACGATAAACGAATAGGATATGAGGATCCTTAGAATCCTCGCAAAGGAGATACAGAGAGGATTCTCATCCACCTAAAACCATGTTCTCCAAATACTGCCTCAGACAGCCCCTGGTTTTGGGACATGTGCTACATAATCAAAAGTTGGGTGCTAAAAATTGAAATCCATAGGGAGAATGGCTCTCCAGTGTCCTGAAGAGTTGTCACAAAAAGTTGGGTGCTAAATCTTAATCCGCACTGGGTTTTACTATATATATTCTCTGCCAAAGAATATTGATCTCATTGGAAATTTCCTCGATACAATTTTCAATTATTTAAGTTCAAATTCTTAGAGCTTCACTTTTTGGGACAATTAAATTGTTATAGCATGGAAGGCAAAGTTTTCACAGAAGAACAGGAAACACTGGTGGTGAAGTCATGGGGTGTGATGAAGAAGAACGCTGCTGAATTGGGCCTTAAGTTCTTCTTAAAGTAAGTCCGTTTTACATAAACTTGCAAATTTAGCCGACTATAAAATAGCACCCAATTTTTCTGATTCGTTCTTTTTTTTTCATCTGCACTTCATAGTTTATATATGATGTCAGAAGAAAGGTTTTGAACCAACTGGGACTTCAATTTGCAGGATCTTTGAAATTGCACCATCAGCTCAGAAGCTGTTCTCTTTCTTGAGGGACTCTGACATTCCTCTTGAGAAGAACCCAAAGCTCAAGCCTCACGCCATGTCTGTATTTGTTATGGTAAATATAATTAAGCTGCTAGTGTGATACTATCACATATAAAGTAAATTATAATTAACTTGGGTTCGATCGTTAATCCTTCATTTGTGTTCCAGACTTGTGAATCTGCAGTTCAACTCAGGAAAGCAGGCAAGGTTACAGTGAGAGAGTCAACCTTGAAAAGATTAGGTGGTGTCCACTTCAAGTCTGGAGTGGTAGATGAACATTATGAGGTATAAATTATCAGGCTTCAAGGGATTTTATCTAATTAAATAAGAACAGCGTTTTTCCTTGTACGCAAAGTTTTGGGTTCGAATTCTTCTTTTCCAAATATGTGCCTTATCGAACAATTATTTATTTTATATATAGGTGACCAAGTTCGCATTGTTGGAAACCATAAAGGAGGCCTTACCGGAAATGTGGTCACCGGAGATGAAGAATGCTTGGGGAGAAGCTTATGATCAGTTGGTTGCTGCTATAAAATCAGAAATGAAGCCTCCCCTTAATTAGCCACAACTCTCTTTACAAGTTCTTTTTTTCAATTTGTAACTTAATAAGAGGGAAATACTGTCTGCCTCTTTTTGTTTGGTTGTTTGATCCCTTCTTTTGTTAAGTATCTAAAAAAACCCTCAATATTTTAATATCATTCTAAATTGGGTTTTTATTCCAAATAGTTCTTAAAATTGACCTATTATATTAAGATTGTCAATAAGATTGTCTCTGAAACTGAAAGTTGATCAATGTCGTTCCTGAATATGAGCGCTACAAATCAATGTGATTTTTTCGTTAGAGTTCTGTCAAATAATCTACTAGCGCACTGTATGAACTTACAAATCTAGTTAAAAAGCGCTATGTGGATTATGTTTTATTTGTTAAATAGAAATGATTTTTTTTAACAAATAATATTATCCACACTAAAGAAGAGGGGATGAGTTTAGCTTCACAATAGACTAGCAATAATTTGGTTCAAAATTCACTTTTGGCGAGAATCAAACTTAAAATTTCTCACTTACAAGTGAAGAGAAATACCACTAGACTGTAGTACTAAGGGCTGGTTTGGTATTACTGTGCTTTGAAAAAAAACTGTTGTGAGAATAAGCGGCTGTGAAATAAATCAGCAGAGTGTTTAGTAAACTTTTTTGTAAAAGTGCTTTTAGAAAAAAAAGTAGTCTGATAGTAGGTCTTTTCATTAAAGGAGCACTGTAACTCCGTGTGATTTGAAGTTTTCCAAAGCTGCAAATAGTAGTTTTAGCTTTTTCCTTTGATTTCAGCTTATTCTCACAACAACTTCCAAAATAAGCCCTTTTTTTTCAGTTTACCAAACACCTAAAATCCTCACAGTTTTTTTTTATGGGTGCTTTTTTTTTAAGCACCTCACTTCCAAACTGCCCCTAAACGACAAGCCACATCCACCCTTTAGGCCACCGTTCCCATCCTTCAGCAGCCACCGCAACCCACTCAAAGCTGCCAAAGTCCACCACAACGGACGACTTCTCTCTCCCTCTTTCACGCCTCCCCCCTTTCTTTCTTTGCCCCACCTCCCTGATCAGATCTCCCCTCTGTGCCCAACCATCTTCCCTAACCCAGCGCCACACCTTCTTCCACAACGCCCCACTAGTTTTTCAAGATTTATTTTTTTATTTTTTTGTTTAGACATCCCCAATAATTCCATAGCTAGAGAGATACCATAATTTATGTAATCTTCATTATCTGTGCATAATCTAGTTTGATAAGTCAAAAAGCCCAAAATCAATAAGATTCATAACAAAGTCAACAAGATTCATAACAAAATGAGAGTAAAATTTTAACCACATGCTGGCATGACCCCCTTGTTGAATTGCATTGACGATGGTCAAAACCAGGAGAAGATGAGACCAAGTCCGAGGGAAAATCGGTTTGATTACGATCCAAGCGATCGAAAGTAGTGGAAAGAATCAGATAGTCGAGAGATCCCAAGGGTCAGAACGACAAAACATTTATTTATTTCTTTCTATTTACTCAATTTATAGTTTCAGAATTTTGAATCTTTTTAAAAAATAGTAACTTTATATAATGCACAGGTTAAGTGGTCCAAACATGTGCCACATCAACACACTAACAAATTATTTGAAGAAATTCTACCATAAGGACCATATTAATTTATGGCACTCATATTCGGGGACAACGTGGATCAAATTTTAATTTCAGGGACCATCTTGATAGGGTGGGTTCAGAGACCATTTGTGATAAAAATCTTTCTAATAACATCAACTTTTTAAAATTTTTTATCACAAGTAGTCCCTAAAATTGACCCCTACTATTAAGATGGTTCCTGAAAATAAAAATAAATCATTATAGTCTCTGACTATTGGTGTTGCAAATCAATGTGGTCATTCCATTTGAGTTTTGTCAAAATTTCTGTTCGTGTGCTGATGTGACATAGATTTGAATCCGCAAGTATTGCCACATGGATAAATTATTAAAAACTATGTAAAAATTTAATTTAAAATCATTTAAAACTATACTCAAAGTGATTAAATGAAAAAAAAATTAAAAGTTGTTCAACAAGAAAAAAAGGCTACATCTACATTCACAATGAGGAAGACTCAATTCGTGCCAAGAAGAGAAAGCCATGGGCATGCTAGAGGCAGAAGGAGATCATCTGCAATGACCAAGCCAAGGATGTCACCCAAGCTTGTCTCAAAACTTCTTCGTTCTTAGGTTGTCTTGCTGTCTCAAAATTGGGATCAAGGGTTGCGATGGGGGACTGGTGGTTGTGCCTGGCTTGGTGTCAGTCAGAGGTTGGGATAAGTTGGCGGTTGGGTTGAATGGAAACAGGTTGAGGTGGGTTAGTGCCGTTAGGGTAAGGAGGGGAAGGGTCCACGATTTGACGATAAGGGGGAAGGATTGACAACAACGATGTTAGGGGTGGGTATGGGTGGGGAAGAATGTGGCTTGGGGTGGGAGAGATGGCAAGAGAATTGGAAAATTAAGAAACCCAGGTCCTGATGATGGTACGAGCGGAGAAGGCTAATCGTGGTCACATTGTTTGAAGAAGAAGATGAGGATTGCAGATGATCTCCCTCTAGCCTGCCCTTAACACGAATTGTCTTCCTCCATTGTGAAATGCAGCTTTTAATTTTTTTTGTTGAACATATTCTAATTTTTTTATTTATTCATGTGGCAATGTTTAATAGACTAGTGGGTCCACCTATGTGCCACATCGAACATACTAACCGAAATTTTGATAGAATTGTAACGGAATGATCACATAGATTTGCAACACCTATACTTAGGGACTGCATTGATTAATTTTCATTTTCAAGGACCATGTTGACGGTACGAGTCAATTTTAGGGATTACTTGTGATAAAAACCCTAAGTAAATAAATGAAACCACCTTAACAATGGTCTCTGTGTGTGTGTGTGTGTGTGAGTGTTGTGGGCCTAATTTATTGAATCGTATAAAGGACAAATAGAGAGGGGGTGCGGCAATAGTAGAGAAAAAAAGAGATGTGTAATTGTGAGGTGTGTTCTATTCCACCCCATTGTGTCTTTATTTATAATAGTAGGGAAGGTTAAATCCTTACCCTAATACGATTACAACTCTAATAGGATAATATCTAACCCTAGATAATATTCCAAGATATCCTTAGATACACTAGGATTACATAGTCACATTCCTAATCTAATAGGACTGCAACACTCCCCCTTGAGTGTGTAAATACTTAAGCAAATGGCACATCAGGTCTTCAGCGATAAAGTAAGTATAGTTGATGAAGTCATCAGCACAATGAGCGAATATGAGTCTCAAAACAACGGAATAATGCATAAAAGGTTAAACTCACAAAACCTCGCTATGGTAAAACCTAAGGTGGGAGAAAAACCCATAGACTAAAGAGAAAAGTGAGAAGTTGCATTAAGTCAAAACTATACGTCTTTTGGATGCAAGTAGAAGAGCTCACAAGGGTATGACCAGCCAGGATGGGTGCCTCGTCAAAACCTAGTTAGGTAGCAAAAACCCAGTGGGAAAAATGCTCCTAATCGTAGGGAAAATAGTACATTAAAATCAAGTAAGTATACTTCTAGATACTCTGCCTGAGTTTGACAGAACTTGCAAATGAGAACTACAAGAATTGTATATGAATAGTTAGGCATACCAATTCCTCGGACAAGTTTCTAGAAGGTTGACTTCAACAGTGACATCGTGTAAAGGTTGGCAAGGTAGTCTGGGATTGGCTTGCATGACTTTGATCTTCTTATGCTTTGCTAATGTAGATGTAGACATAATATGTCTTGGTGTTGACTTTGTTGATGTATCATGTCTTGGTTGAGTTGATACAGGTGGCATAATCTTTATGGATCGTCGTTGAGACTCAACGATGGATGAAAACAGCAGTCTTGGTTGAGTTGATACAGGTGGCATAATCTTTATGGATCGTCGTTGAGACTCAACGATGGATGAAAACAGCAAGTACTTGGAATAAGCTTAACAAGAACTCCTAACCATGTCTCACATGTGGGGTAGTGAAGTGAAGTGAGTCTTGGAGCGTTTCGAAGATTTCGCAACTAAGGTCATATCGTGGACCTCCAAGATATTGTGATATCCCTAACGATAAAGACATAAGCATTCGAGGATTTTCCTAATGCGGGTTTGATAAGTAACCAGCATTAGCGTAACAACAAGGCAAACATCATTCTGAGGATCAAAAGGGTTGGATCCACTCAGGATACGTTGGATTAGCCCAAATCCGTAGTACCTTTCAGGGTTGTCGAAAAACGTCTTTAATACCAATTCAGGGGTTACGTGTAGGATCGATGATGCATCTTTACCAATAGATCAATAGTGAAGAAGATTTCTTATCTAACGTAATGAGCTAAGTACAACAAAGCGCAACGTTGAACTTAGATATGGAATTTCAGGTTCCATAACCTTTTCAAGGGTCTTATTTGCATATAACGTATGGACTATCATAGGTATACTCAAATGTAACACCTTTAGGGTGTAGTTCGACTGGAAGACCAAAGTTTCGTTAGAATAACGCTTGAACTTCAGGTTAAGGTATAAACGAGTTTTCCCAAGATCTTTTATCTCAAATTCAGTCTTCAAGTGCAAGGTAGTTTTCTCAAGCTCTTCCAGAGTCTTAGTGAGATTCATGTTAACAACATAAATTGTAACTCTAGCAATTTGGAATATGACTTCATAGCTTAACAGGCAAGGGCTTACTTCATATCCTTAACTAATCAAATAATCACTTAGACGGGTATACCACATCCGCTGGATTACTTTAATTCATAAGTGAACGCCTCTAAAAAGTTGAAAGGCTGTTCCGTGGCATGGAACTATTTGAACCAGTCCATGTAATTCTTTAAGAACTTACATGTAAATCTCCGTATCAATATCCCATGAAGAAATACTAACCAATTCGTAATGCTGCAATCAATCACAAAGTGTTTGAGAGAAACCTTGCACCGTAAGGCGTGCATCATATCGCACTATTTCATTCATCTCATTACATTTCCTTTCCCACT